GACTACTCATCCTTCCTATCCATATTTTATTCCTTGGTTCCTGTTAGATCAATACAGGAAGTAGATTTCCTGGATCAATCAAATCCAGTTATTGAAGTGTTGTAAACCTTTTTTCAAGATCCTCCAAGCAAACATTCACCCCCAACACTCCTAAAACTTTTATACATATGGAACTCAATCCTACAAAACAAATCCAAAAGCAAACTAGAACTTGGACTTTGGAAATATCAAATGCAAATAAAAGTAAGCTTTGACTAAAACAAAGCGTTACTGGTTTTGTTTTGTCTCTGAAGGATAGAGAGAAGGAAAAAGAAACCAAAGAATTTGAACTATTTTGAGCAACGAAAAACAACTTTAAAGTTCATGCAAAAATAATACCAATTGTGTTTAATTTTTTATTGCTTCATAGTTTTAAAAAAATTCTCATCTAATTTGAATTGCAAAGGACCTGTGTGAAATGAAAAAAATGATAGATCATTTTTTAATCCTGTGGGCCTAACACTGACTATCATTCAATACATTGTTTTTAAGTTGAATAATTATTTCCATTTATCTATGAGGAAACTGAGGTGCCAAGAAATTATGTTAATTGCCACTGCCTTAATTGAATAATGTGTGACAAAGCCAGGACTTCAACTTGGTGTTCTCACTCTTGATTAAGTGGTTTCCCCATTATGCTATGCAACCTCTGGAAATTCTGTAGCCAAAAAAGTCCATTTAAGCAATAAGCAAACATAAAAGGCAGTAAAGGTGAGGAAAATGCTGACTCAACTAATATTACTGAATACCTATTAAGCTACATATCAAGTACTAAACTGAGTGGTTTTGCACACTTTTTCTTACTTCACAGGAACTATCAGTAATATTAATGCTGAATTGACATATCTAAGCCTACAAAGCCAACAATATGAAAATAAGTTTAAAAGTTTCAGAGCAGTAAAAATAAATGCCAAACCCTATGTTCATGTAGTCATGCAACACATATTTATTGAGGGCTGATTATACATTAGCCATTCAGTAGGCTCTGAGAAACCTGATGTGACCCTGGTGTCTAAGATTTTTGAGTGGAGTGGTTGATGAACATAAGATACAGCCCAGGCACTGAGACTGTTTTTCCTTACTCATCACAGAGCTCCTTAAATGATCACATAGAATCTATGTATCTTGGACAAATTCTAACAAGCTCAGTTATGTTATCCCATCGACACAGGTTGGAAACTGCAATGAGAAAGATCTATTTAGAGCATCTAAGAAGCCACAGTTGACCATCTGGCAGTAGAGGACACAGCAGACACATTCCATTGCACGTGAGTTTGAAGTTACATAATATATTGGCCAAAGATCCATACAAACCCCAGTAAGTTAAAAGCCCTGAGACTGCCATTGAATTTTGATATAATAATTTAATTAATGTTTTTATTTATGAGCCAGATATACTAGTATATGCCAACTAAGCTACTAAATAAAAAAATGCCTTGTAGAAAGCTATATCAAAGTAATACATAATTAAAACAATTATCTGGAAAATGTTCCTATATTGAATACCTTATTCTATGGTAGTATTAAACAAGATAGAATTGTTAGAACATTAAAGGCAATTACACACATAAAACAATGAAAGTCGTTCATTTCTACCCTCATTTAAAGCATGAATCTTTCTGCAATCTACATTGTTGGTATGAACAACATCCTTGGCAATTTCTACATTACATGCTTTCATTACTAACGAAAAATTTCAAAACAAACCCAAACAACATAAACTAAGAAAAATCTTCAGAGGACTAGAGGCCTCCTTTTGCAGAGTTGGCCTACTTGAGGTTTTGGGGAAGCTCTAAAATTTTTTATCTGCTCTCACATGACACCTAAAGAAAATCTGATTATAAATTTAGGCAAAGTTTACTATCTCATGGAGTTAGAGTCCATATGGATGCGGCCATTGCACATATTCTTTCTGCATTTTCCCTTGCTCTCTTCTTTATTAAAATGGTGTCTGTCAATGAAATAAGAAAAGAAGTTGTTAAGATTTATGAAATTATAATCCACAGATACCAGCATAATGTCATTGCTGGTGTTGTCATGTAAGAGAGTAAAACGTAAGATAGGTTTGTCTTTAAGTGCAGTCAACAAATGTTTTTGCTAAAACCTCACCTTGCTGTACAGAGTTGACTACTTTTAATTTTTTCTGCTTGGCTCTCATTTTTCTTTCTTTTTAAATTTTTTTTATTGATTTAAAAAATATGTTTTTATTGATTTTAAAGAGAGAGGAAGGGGGAGGGATAGAGAGATAGAAACATCCACCGGCTGCCTCCTGCTAGTCTATCAGTTATGCCATGGAGAAGATGCCAACTAATTAATGAGCCAAGTCCGATGGTGAATCTTTGCTAAGAAGCATATTGTTAGTTCAGATTGAGCTCATTCTCAGAACAAGATTCTTGTTCCAGTGGTGTTGGGGAGGTAAATACTGGTACCTCTCAAAAGGGAAGGTTGTGTTCCGTTTTCCTGCCAAATACTTGTCCTTCCTGGTGAACAAGGACATTGTAATAGTATCCACTTAAAAGTCATACAGTAAATCTTGATGATCACATTGGCTAATGAGTTTGATCTTGCCCGGGAAAGATTAGCCTTTCCTTTATCCTAAGAAAGACCTACTCTGAAAGGAATTTATCAAGTCATGTGTGGCCAGCTTTCCGAAGTAACTGCAGGTCTCGATTCACTTCCTCCCTGGACAGGAATACGTTTCTCTGGCAAGTGAACAAGTCACCTTTGCCTTAGATTGGGCTCTTCTGAATTCTAATCAAAAGTAGTTTCATCATCACAGGCACCCTTTCAGGGATTCTTTTCCCTTAGCATAGTCTCTTTCAGCCCCAAATCAGTGTGTGTGAGCGCCTGTGTGTGTGAAACAAGTGGCTACTTTTAAATGTATGTGGCTCTTTGCCATATCCCAATTGGAGTCCCATTGAACTTCTAGAAGGAAAGGAGACTCACAGCACTAGAGGTGAACTGCAGTGAGAGAGAGAGGTCATATAGCTGGATGCCTTACCCCATGAATCAGCAACAGGGTATGTGTTTACTTGGTCTGTGCCAGAGACACCATAGTCTCTGATATACTTTATTCGTCTCTGTTGTATTTCACAAATGGGCTAATGTGTCATAAGACATAGATTCTGTGGTCAGAAAGATCTGGTTTTAAATGCAAACTTAGTGACTTACTAATTAATTGCATGATCTCAGGGACTTTCTTTACCTCTCTGTGCCGTGGTTGGTAAAATGGGAGACAATAAAAATGCTAAAGGTTTATTTCCGATGATGTTGGTGAAGTTCTGAGCACCTAGTGGGCGCTCAAGAGTTCATCGTTAGACTCTGATTCTACCTGTCAGTGCAGCAAGCAGCCTGGCCACTTGCTCAAGTGGGAAGTGTCTGTCCCCTGAGGCAGTTCCTCACTAGCAGCTGAAGTGTGACATGAAGCCTGGGCACACTATTGAACTTAGTGCCAATGATTGGATTGTGACAGACACCCCACTTCTAAGTTAGAATGGAATGACCAGCTCACTGTGTCCTCCCTTTTTCTCTTACATTCTGAGCGTGAGCTCCGCCTGAGAGTTAGGATTCACTTCCTGAATCTCGCCACATCTCTACACCAGTGGTTTTCAACCGTTTTCATCTCATGCACACATAAACTAACTTCTAAAATTCTGCAGCACAACAAAAAATATATTTTTTGCTGATCTTATAAAAATAGGTATTAATTTTGATTTACTTACCCCCAACAGCTATTGTGTTGGCTGTTGTCACTGTTATATTTGACAGTAAGGGAAAAGAGGTCAGTGCCCCTGACATGAGTCAGATGGTGCATGTTTTAAAAATTCTTGCAGCACACCAGGTGGAAGTCCCTGCTCTATACCATTGATTTAAAACTGAGTCTTTCTAACCCCTCTGATAATAACACTTATATCCATGTTTCAGACCAAATGTCATCAGTGGAATAGGAAGAATGACTCTGAGAGGTTTCATAGTCTCTCTCACACAGAAACCAAATTGGGAGACTTGGAGGTTACTTAGAACCATACCTCTGCCCTCAGATAGAACTGGACTCAAAGCTTCTTTTCTTTCTTTTTGTTCAGTCTTGATTATCTAGTAAATCTAATCATATCATCACCAAGGAAGAATACATACAACTTAAGATCTCTCTGCTGATTTCCCTGCTTTATATGTGATCTAATTTTTATTTTCTGAGCCTGAGTTTGTGCTTACCTGTAATTCACAGTAGAAGCTCATCCAAAAGCAATCTTCAGTTTGCTGAATCTAACATGTGCTGTGGAGACTGGTTTCTCTCTTTATCTAGTAAAATGCTATTTATTAAAGCACTTTAAAAGGATTTGAGTTCTCTTAAACTTTTCTAGTAGTTTGCATATTCACTCAGGATACTCTAAATAAAAAAAAAAAATTTATAGCAGAAAAGATTTGAAACACAGGTGAAAGTAGAGAATATAGCATGGTAACAACCATGTACCCTGAGCCTCCATCATACAAGCTAATGGCCAAGCTTGTCTCATCTACATACATACCCACCCTCCTTCCATTGTCATAGTATGCTGAAATAAACCGCAGACAGTATATCATTTTATTAGTAAATATTTCAACCTGGCCTGTCTTTCTAAAAAATATGGTAGTTTCATTTATTTATTTGTTTGTTTACTTAAAATATAGTTTGATGGATTTCAGAGAGGAAGGGAGAGGGAGAGAGAGATAGAAACATCAGTGATGAGAAAGAATCATTGATTGGCTGCCTCCTGCACACCCCCTCTTGGGGATCGAGCCAGCAACCTGGGCACATGTCCTTGACTGGAATCGTCCACAGGCCAATGCTTCATCCACTGAGCCAAACCAGCTAAGGCCGTTTTCTTACTTTTAATTTATTCTTAATACCATGATCACACCTAAAAGATAGTCATTTCTTAACATTATGATCAGTTAGTTAGGGTTCAAATTCTACCAAATGAATCACTTTTAACTGCATAAAACTGCCTCTTCTTTTCCCAGGTGTGGTTTCTAGAGTTAATCATGAATATCTGTGGTCCCCACCGAATGACTACTCTGTCTACCAAGAATCTTTGACCACCAAGTTGACCTACTTTTACTCAGAACTTGGGATATTCGCTGGAGGCATCGTGTGCCAAGGCCCAGGAGAGCTGCCTGCACTGAGCAACAGGAGGGATGGGCCCTGAAGATCCACATACATCCATGAAACATTGAACCAGTGGTGGCTAAGAGTGGGAATCAGAGAAAGCGTATGCTTCACTCATTAGTAAGTGGGTGATGCAGGGGTGTGGGCAGGGTCCCTCATTATAGATGGGGGAGACTGCATTGCTAGCTGCTGCCTCCACACAATCTCCCACATGGTGCAGCCTAGTAGTGGGGGTTGGAGAAGAGAGGCTAGGATTGGCATCTGTCATTCTAGAATGTTCTTTCCAATCAACCCAGGAAGGAAAGCAAGGATAAAGCCCTCCCAGGATTGAAGGGACATGCTGTCTCACTAACACCCCACTCTCCAACTCTCCTCACTGGGCGAGGCTGTGCCCTGAGAACAGCGCTGACAGATGGACATGTCCCACCAATGTCCCTCCTCAACTCTGTCAATTGGGCATGTTCCAGCAGGGTAATGCCTGAGACAGGGGGCTGGTGGGGGGCCTGGCCACAGTGGTGCTCAATGCACCTCACCAGTAGGCCCTCTCTGGGAGAGGGTGGCAGCTTCCCAGCAACCTTTGGTGGAAATTGCAGAGACAGAACAGGACAGTCACTGGCTCGACTGTTAGTGTCACCTCCGGGCTGTGTGGAGGACAAGCGCCCAGAGCAGATCAGTGCCTGGGGTTGTCTGGGTAGCGACAAGGCTTTGTTCAGGGAAGAGATGCACACTGGTATTGGGGTAGTTTGATAGCACCTGGGATGGTGTTTTCCTTGTTCCCTCTAGACCTGATTTAATGTGGCCACCCACACAGCCACCAGGGAGAAGGACATCGGCCCCCCTCTCCAGCCTCTCCTGGTCCCGTTATCCAGCCATGGGCAGCTTCTACCACTTTCTCAAAGCACCTAGTTCTGCTGGATTCTGGCCTTCACGCTTCTTTCTCTGTTTGGGACACTCATTCTTTTCCATGTCTAATTCCCACTCCTTCCTCAGGTCTCAGCTTAAAGGCCCCTGGCTCAGGCAAGCCACATTTCACCCTAGTAGGTGAGAGGCTGTTGCCATATGCTCCTAAAAGGCCCTCTGCTTCTCCGATTATACCTCACTTATGCTACTGCCTGTTCATTTGCATCTCTTTCCTGTTTCGCTGTTAACACCTTGAAAGTCAGTTCCCCTCCCCTGCATCTTGCTCACTCCTTTAATCCCAGTGCCTGCTACAGTGTCTGACACATGTAGGTACTTAATGATTATTTATTGAATGAATGAATGATTTCAGTTTATATTATATTTAGGAAATAGGTTTGAGCCAAAATTTTGAGCTGGCTTGAAAACATTAATAAAGGACCTAACTAATTAGGAATAAGACTTTAACTGGCTTATAAAATTTTTTGCTGATGGAGAGGGGAGTAAGGGGCAGAGAGAGTGGGCATTGAGCCATTCTTCATACCATGCTAACCTGTGCTATTGACAGGGCATGTGGCTCTACACAGAAAATGGGAAAAACCTCCTGTCATGAATGCCCTGGGGGGCTATGCGAAGTCCCTCTAGGGCTGGGGGACTTGACATAGAGTTCAGAACTCGAGAGCCCCAGATGCTGTTATCACAGTAGTAGACCCCCACAGTGTGAGGCCATCCTCAGGGCTGCTAGTCTAGCCTCTCATTTAAGTTAGGGCTCCTGCATGCACCACTTCAAACCAATGGTGATGCAGCCCCTGCTGGAAGAGCTGACTCACAGTAGAGCTCAGTTTATGTTAAGCCATTCTTATTTAAACAATACAAGGATTTTTTGTATTTTGTTCTGAAACCTGATTTTCTAAAACTTCCCCCCCATTGAGCCCTTGTTCTAGAGAAACACACAGGGACTTAATCTCCCTCTAATGAAACAGACTTGAAATAATTGAAGAGAGGTTAAGTTGTTGCCATGGTGCCTTTATCTGTGATGAAATTGAGACATCACCTTGAATTAATCTAAAAGGACAATGGGAATTATTAACAGTTGTGGAGGAGAAATGGGGCTTTTTTTCTAATTGTGTAGTGATTATTCATTACAGGGAGTATATTTATAAAACCATCTAAAATAGAACCCTGCTAAAAATAACTCATTTATATAACACTCTTAAGTCACTTTTCTGTTCCCAAATACTGCTTTCCATAGACATCACTGCATATGACAACTGGACATTATAAATGCACTTCAAAGAAAATTCTGATTAAAACATCTCTGTCCCGAAAAAGAAACCCAGCCAACTTTCTTGAGAGTCTGAAAGAAATGTTATCCAGTTCTTTGCAATTTTGCTATAGAATAGAACCTTGGATTATATGTTCCATTAATAACTCGGGTTAAAATGATTATGATGATGAATTAAGTTTTGATCTAGGCTGAGTTCTTCATTTTCAAATTGTTGTCAGCTAAATTTGTGTCCTGACTTATTCAGAGGTTATAAACAACTAACTCAGTTGCTTTGTTTAGTTCTTAAATCACTTCCCTATTTTTAGAGCATTACTATATTTGAGAATAATAGATAACCTTTGATTTCTTATGCTTGTGGCAGCCTGCCGTGCCAGCACTTAGGGCTAATGCAGCCAACTCTCCTTCTGAAATGAAAGTAAGGGGCTGGGTGTGTGTGCGCGACATCTCAGTCAGTGAGATTATTTTCTTTCTGGGGATAGGTCAATTTCATAACGTTAGCATGAGTTAATTTGGCTGTGTTTGAAGCCCTGCCCTCTCCACGCCTAGCTCTGCGACGATACCCCCTCCTGCCCCCGGCCTGTGCCTGTAACTGGAGGCCACCTGCAGCTGGCATGTTAGTGTGCGGCCTCCACAGTCATGGCAGGCCCTTCCAAGTGGAGCCACTGTGCCCAGCTCTGTTTTAGTGCCATCCCGGGTTAGCTGGCCAGGAACGATGACTGACTCATTGAAAGAGAACCTGTATTAAAGTAGGAGCGTACAGAGAATTTATCCAAGAAGGTCCTGATACCTGAATCACTTCCGAATGGGCCCTCATATCCCTGACACTGTGCGTTCCATATAGTGAAAATATAAAGGCCTATGGGATTGATAAATATCCCACCAGTGTGTACTTCTCAACTGACCCTTTTCATATCCTGAAATCAAAGTTCATCTTATAGGACAGCTGATTTCCCCCCACCCCCAAGGTATCACTGGGATAGAACTGTGGTTCTTAACTAGAGTCGATGTTGTCCCCCAGGGGACGGTTGGCAATGTCTGGAGACATTTTTGGTGGTTGTCACAGGTGGAGAGTTGCTACTGTTGTCTAGAGGTAGAGGATCGGGATGTGGCTAAAAAGCTTACAATGCACAGGGCAGTCCCTCCTCCTCACCCCGCCCACCTCATAACAAATAATGTCAATACTGCCAAGGTTGAGAGGCTCTCAGTTGGATAACTTATTTCTAATTGATTTCAATTTCTTCACCTTATTTACTTAGTCCTTCACCCGGAAGGACTAAGGTCTCTTCTTTCTCTGAGGTCTGGGCTCCCAGTGGTCTAGACATGAAGGTGAGGAGGTACATGGAGCAATCATAGTTTTGGGTATAGGATGAACCTCTGTGTCTGAGCAAGTGGCCTAGGAGAGAGGACATGATCAAACCTTCTCTGTCAGGCACCTAGAAGGGGCTGGGGACTGTGCAGTAGCTTTGAATTACTTTTAGAATATTATTATTATTATCATTATTGTTTAAGTAGATTGCCTCCACAATGCTATGAGAAGTGGAGGGGAGGGCTTCTCCACTTACAGACGGCTCTCATGAGATGAGAAGCAGCAGCTACAGAGTCCAGAATCAGATGACTGATGACGGGAAGATTTAAGGAACTCACAGACACCAAGACATTCAGAGACGGTGGGAAGAGGAAATCCTGTGCTACAGACTGAATGTTTATGTCCCCCTAAAACTTATATTTTGAGACCTATTCCCCAAAGTGATGTTATTTGGACATGGGCCTCTGGGAAGTGATTAGGTCATGAAGGCAGAGCCCTCACGAATGGGATTAGTGCCCTTATAGAATAAAGAGAGCCCCCACCCCTTGCGCCATGTGAGGACACAGGGGAAGGTGGCTGTCTGAGAACCAGGAGGCAGGTCCAAATCTGCCTGTGCCTTGATCTTGGACTTCCAGCCTCCGGAACTGAGAAATTTCTGTTGTTTCTAAGCCACCTAGTCTGTGGCACTGTCACAGCAGCCAGAACCCAAAGGGACTGAGACAACCTGGGAAAGATAGCAAGTCAAAGGGGGAGGGGTGCTGACTGTTGTGATTTGCGTGTTCCAGGGGACGTGTCCTCTGGGAGCTGAGGTCTGGCATGTCTCAGGAACCCAATCTGTCCTATAGTAACCAGTACCAGTACAAAATCTTAGAGCATTTTGGTAATAAATTTGACATTTTTCATTCACATAAAACTCTCTTAATCGCAAGATTTTGCAATGTAAGGCTGTGAAGATTACATTAAACTTTTCTTTTGAAGGTACTGACTGGGTTAGGCGTTGTGGAAATAGCCTTGGAGGACTGGTGAGAAGACTGGGCTTTGTGTCTCCTGCTTTCACTCTGCACATTGTACCTGAATGAGCTCATCCCCTCCTGGATTTATCTTCCGTCTCACACGCATGAATCTTGGTATGATTCCTCAGCCGTGGCCTCCCTGTGGGGAACCTTAGCCCCTGCCCTCGAGGAATTCAGAGTGAAGTTTATTTCTCCTTCGTACCCACAGGTACCCAACACCATGCCTGGAAAAGTGACTAACGATGTTTTGTGAAATAACTACATACAAGTTACTACTTCACTAACCAGCCAGCTGACCTTGATGAACTCACTTTGACTCTCAGCTTGTCACCCAAAAATGATGAGTATGAAAATTTTAAGGTAATATCTGGCTCTAATATTCCATACTCTTCAGTCTGGGTAGAATGGGTAGAAAGGCTCTTTATCTATATCTATATAACTATATATATATATACATCTATATCTCCATATCTCTATCTCTATATCTATATATCTAACTATAGCCATATGAATTTCTATATCTACATTTATATCTATATATGTCTATAAGTATATGCATCTAAATCTATATATCTCTAACTATATCTCTATCTCTCTATCTCTATCTCTATCTCTATCTCTATCTCTATCTCTATACCAATATCTATATCAAATCTGTATCTATATTTGGCTCCCCAGGTTCCAATCAGTTCAAACTGTGTCTATTGAAGTGCATTGGAAATTAATTCTACTCTAGTGCCATGTCAGAGAGAATCAAGGCTCTATATCAGCAAAGGTTGGGCAACATGAGGAATGGGGTGAGGCCCTGATCTTTTATCTCCTTCTACTTTGCTATCTCCTTAAGCTTCTTAGTCAGATCATATATCTGGTTCTAGATAGTCTGCTCCTCTGGCCTGAATTCTGTAGCCCTTCAACTCTCCCTCTTATTCTCCAGAGGAAATGCTGAGGCTATTGCTAAAAGGTTTCTTAATTGTCTTTTCTCCCAGAGAAAACGGCAGCTGCCGTCCTCCTATGCACATATAGCTTTCTTTGGAGCTTTGGCATGTGGGTGATGACACATATACTGGCTCACAAATGCCAACACCCAAGACCACGACAGGGATGCGGATTCACCTGCCAGAGCATTTGACACTTGCGTCAGGAACAGGCAACAGCTGAGAAAAGCCCTGTGAGTAATACCTTCTCACATATGTGGGAAAGGCTGTCCAGAACTGTAAATCAGTAAGATGCCTGTTCTAGCTAATTCTCCCATGGGTGGAGGAAACGGGAGTTCTTTCAGCTCATTTGGTGGTTGGATGGGAAATGATAGCATACCAATGATGTGGAAGTAATTTTTCACCATGGGCTAAAGGCTTTTGATTCCTTGTCTTAGAGATTTGGCTGGGACTGGGCGACAAATGTACCTAGCTGTAGCAGGAAGGTAGAGCCATTTGCCAAGGAAGTAGTTACTCAGAGGTAGTGGGCAATATGCAGAGAGAATATGTTATCAATGTGTCATTGGGCAGAGAGTTCTCTGCTCAGGAAGTTACTATGGTTTACCATAAAGACCTGCCTCAGTGACCGGGAATGGACCTGAAATTCTAGATGAGACTCCTTTAAACCCAAAGACTCATGTAAGCCCCAGTAAAGTAGTAGTTTAACATTCAAAACACAAAATCCAGACACCACCCCCCAAAAAAAATAATTTAGAGAAAACTAAAATATTTCAATGGTGCTACTTTTGGGACTATTAATAGGGGGAATTGAACAGTATTACTTATTAAATTATCCATTCTTCTCTTCAATTATATAGCTTCTCCAATCTCTTCCAAAAGTCTCACTTCTCAATCTAGAATATTCTATCCTTGTCAATCATCATCTTCCTGTCGGTACAAAGGAGAGAGCTGCTTCTTTACTAAAAGGTGGATTCCATACTATACTTACTGTGAGATTTCTGGCAAGAAATGTAAGTGGTAAATAAAAAATATGTAAGTGGTAAATAGTAAGTTTGGCCTGGACTTTGCCATTTGTTAGTTTCAGGACCCTGTTCCATCTTTGTTCCTCTGATTTTTACTGCAGGAATATATATAAACAACAATTTGGGAGTTTGCTTGCTTACTTCATGCAAATTAATGTGTTAGGCTAAGGGTTTGCAAATTTGTTTAGGAGATAGAATGCCCAGATTTTTCTGGGTAAAAAAAAAAAAGTACAATTTTTCATGGTACTTTTCAGAACACCATGAAAAAATGGACATAGTTAATTCTATTATATGGACTAAGAACACACTTTAAATTGACCATCACTCCAACACACAAAATGGCTGCCCCCATGTGGACACAAAATGGCCACCACAAGATGGCCCGCAGGAAAGGGCAGTTGGGGGAGACCAGTCCTGCAGGGGAAGGCAGTTGGGGGCAACCAGGCCTGCAGGGGAGAGCAATTAGGGGGGACCAGGCCTCAGGGGAGGAAAGTGAGGGGTGACCAGGCCTGCAGGGGAGGACAGTTAGGGGTAATCGGCTGGCAGGGGAGTTGTTAGGGGTAATCAGGCTTGTAGGCAGGCGAGTGGTTGGGAGCCAGCAGCCCTGGATTGTGAGAGTGATGTCTGACTGCCTGTTTAGGCCCCATTCCAGTGAGATTGGGCCTAAATGGTCAGTCGGACATCCCTCGAGGAGTCCCAGATTGGAGAGGGTGCAGGCTGGGCTGAGGAACACACCCCCCGTCCCCCCGTGCACAAATTTCATGCACTGGGCCTCTAATATATATATATATATAATTGATTTCAGAGAGGAAGGGAAAGATAGAAACATCAATGATGATGAGAGAATCATTGATTGGCTGCTTCCTACATGCCCCCTACTGGGGATTGAGCCCACAACCAGGGCATGTGCCCTGACCAGGAATTGAACTGTGGCCTCCTGGTTCATAGGTTGAAGCTCAACCACTGAGCCATGCTGGCTGGGCTCATCCCATATCTTTGTCTTGCTGGCTCCTTGCCCTGTATCTGTCCCTTAGAGGTCAGTTTCTCCAGGGCTGGCCACACTTCATATATTCTTCCTAGTCAATCCCATCTGTTTTTTACATTTTCTCTAACATCTCTACAGTAATGATTCATAATTCTCCATCCAAATTTGGACCATTTTTCTAACTTTCTGATCTATGTTTCTAACACTATTTGCCTTTCTCACGCATATTGCAAGTATTTTATTCATGTAACATATATTGTCTTTGTTTTGTGTATGTCCATATTCTACCCGTAACTGGCATGTTGAAATGCTTAAAATATGTTCACTGAATTAACCCATGACTCATGGACACTTGAGGGCAAAAGGAATCTAAAATTCTACCTCTGTCCCAATTAGATACTTGATTCCCCCCTAACATATACCAGTAATTGGTCCCCTAGTTTCTGCAGGCACCGGAGAGTTATTGTTTGTCATTGGTGTTTAGAGATTCTGTGCAAAATGGCTTTCCTAGGTTTCTTCTTTCATAATGAGAAAGAAAAATATTGAACCAAGAAAAGTCTGGGGGAACATTATGCAGTGAGGAAGTCATGTAAGCAGGTTAGAAAAAGAAACTGAACTATTCACCTCACATAGCACCCATTTAAAACAGAGGGGCAATAGCTACAGCTGTTTCAGTTTTGCCAATTTTGTCCTCCAAATTAGACACGTGCCTTCCATTTGCTTTAATAGGATCCATATGTGAGCAACTGATGGTGGTACTTATCTCGAAGGAAGCGAAGTGCTGAGTTCCTGCCACCCACCCACATCTGTGGATTTATAAGCCACAAGCAAATGAAAAACAAACGCGCTGCGGGCATGTTAAGAAGTCTCGAGCTTTGACAAAGCCTACCAGGAAGAAAGAACTGGAGTGCGGAGGCTCTGCGCTGGTGGGCTGCTGGAACAGCACAAAAGGTCAGCCCTTAAATTCGCCATTTCTTGGGGCACATTCTCTTCATTGCTGGCGTCTGTGGTTGAAGCCGAAGAGGGGATATTTCTGAGACTCACAGATTTTGGAACGAAGGACAAAATTCATGGTTAATTAAGATAGCCATCTATTCATTTATTGAACAAATGCTTGTTTGAGTTTCTAGAAGTTGTTGGCTAGGATATGGTAACCCTTGCCAGAGAACCAGGTTGGAGTTTTTAAAGAAAAACCTATTTTCATAACCTATTTTCAAAATATAATCAAGGATACTCAGTGCAGCCCTCGTTGTGATATCTCTGAATTGGAGTGCAGTTAGCGGTCAGCAGGAGTGGGGTGTTAGCGGTCAGCAGGAGTGGGGTGGATAAATTTTAAAGCCTTTATACAATGAAATGCTGTTTGATGGAGTTAGAGAAGGTTAAGCCAGTAGGCACGGGTCTAAGCTCTTCCCAACACATACTGCCGAGAAAAGGAAAGCTGCAAGCAAATAACTTCCACAGATGGGATTCTCTGAAAACACAATTCCCTGAAAAGCTTAGTAGGTTCTGACCTATTTGCTGCCAGTCAATTTTAGCAAAGACAAAGCCAATTCTCTTGTCAAGTCAGCGCCCCAGAATTTAGATTCTGGTCCTCTGGCCCTAGAGTCAGCAAGCTCTGCACCATTTGACCAGAGATCAGCTTAATACCCTCCAGGTTGGCCTCTGTCTCAAGACAATTCAAAAGTCTCATCTCTTCTTTCCCTTCCCAGCCTGCAGTCAATCCTGGCTCTTTGTTGGGGTTTACTGTCTCCTTTCTGGACAAGCTTTCACAGGGTGAGGTTGTTTAAAAGAAGCCCGAGGGGGAAAGCTGTTGAATCCTCCTGCTGTCTTACATACCTTTGCTCCACTTTTAGCCTCAATTCCATCTTTATCCGGAGGCAGAGAATTTATCCTCAGCTGTCCCTCTAACCCTGCAAGTACAAAGAGGAACAGAATTTAAAACATTTGTAAACTTGTGCGCAAAAAGGGTCTCAGCAAGGTTTTGTTTTCTTCATTCCCAGATGGGTTAGCATGCATAGAAGTTCTTTGTAAATGAAATTTGTTTCTTGCCGAAGCTTAGTGGTAGCTGCAAGGAATAACCAATGCATCCCTACATTCTAGGGTTTTTCTGCAAAAATCTCTAACATTCCATCCTTGTCGGGCATCTTCTCTATATCCCCAGATAGAATAGGCAACTGATCAACCACCTTGTAACAGACATTTCCAATTTCTTAGCTTATTAAGGATAGAGATATTCTTTACCCCCATCTACTGTATCACCACTCAGTAACTCCACATTTTATGAACTCTTATTTATAAGAGCCTATTTCCAAGTACTGGTTTCTGTGTTAGAAACAACTTTCAGTTTCGAGTGACAGAAACCTAACTCAATATAGTTTAAAATAGCTTGTCTTCTATTTGTGAAACAGGGTTGTTTTCTTGAAGCACTGCTGATTTTCATCAAAAACTTTGTAAGGTTGTGGATTAACCTACTTGAGTGATGCACTTTCTTTCTACCCCTCAGTTCTACTTCCTTGTAGTTGGCTTCGTTCTCAGACTTCTTATACTCACTTTGGGCCATTATAGACATCTATTTTGAAGGCTGGATCTGTTCTAGGTTATCTGTTACTGTATAATACACCACCCTGAAACAGTGGCTCAAAACCCTAACTATTCTCAGAGGGAAGACTGAGACTGTGGTCTAAGAGGGTAAACAAGTTTGGAATCGTTCCATTGCCTCTGATGGGCCTGGCTGAGACAGGAGCTCCTCCTGAACACATCAATCACTATGTTGGGCCAGGCCTGAAGGCAAGCTTGCCCGGCTACACCTGAAACACTTTCAGGGAGGAGGGAGTGATTTCCCAAGGAAAACTGCTTTTTATTACAAAAAATTTGAGAAGTTATAGATTCTGGACATGAAAAATAAAAAATATGAATGACTGAAGAAATATTAAAGTGGCAGAAAGCTATTTGTAGGAGGAAGGAATTAGATTTATGGACTTGAAAAAGAAGAGAGAAATGGAAAATCCTGAGTAGGCTGAATTTTTGCGAGACTGTGTTTGAAAGAGTAGGGAGGAGATATTAGAGACATTTGCTATAGTGCAATGTAGGATTTTGGGGGCGACAGTATTTTTAAGCATATTTTACTATATTTCATGCTACTTAATTTTCTCTCTCACTTTTGAAGAAATATGAGTCAAGACACCCTTTGTCAAGGCCTTTTGGAGATATATTTCAAATATATATTCCTGTCTTATACATATACTAGTAATACAACACTATTTCTGGTAATCGTGAGGATTTACTGTACATAAACATAACATAAAGCAGAAATTCACCTAGCTGCACATTTGAATCATGAGATAGCTTTAATAGACACCAATGCGTGCCCTCCTCCCCCGACCCCGGGTGATTTTAATATGATTGGGCTGGGGCAGTTTGGGCATCAGCATTTTCAAAGCCTCTCTAGTTGACTCCGGTGTGTTGCTGAAATTGAGAAACTCAGCTGCAGAGTTATGCTCTCAGACATGCAGATTAAGGCCAAGGTCATTTGTTGAGAACTCATACATACAGTAACACCCTTCTGTTATTTAATTAGTTAACATAACATGGGAATGCCTAACTGTAATGCTTCTGTTAGGAAGTAAGATCGGATCTAGTAAGGTATTTCGTTTGGTGTGAAGACCCAGGAGGTGACCTGCAGAGTGACTGAACCCGACATGGTACTCCAAGACCACATTTTCATATTGCATTTGTGATAGATGGCAGAGCTGGCCCAGAGTTGAAGGCCGGTATGCAAATGCCAAAACCCTGCAGCAGAGGTCTCTGACACCTGCAGGCCATCAAATGTGCAGGCAGTGGGCTTACAGCAGAGACATTTTGGTTTTCGGTCACCTGTAGGAAGGAGGACCTGGTCACTGAGTTCATATTTGGCATATGTGGAACTCTAGCTTCCACAGGGCGCTGCCACAGACTTATGGAGAAATAATTGATGTTGAGCTACAAGCTCGGGTGTTTCACCTTTCCCACTCCACCTTTCCCTCCCAGTTCCTCTTGCTTAGTTTGCTGACTGCCTGCCACCCACCCACCCCCTGCTCTCTTCCCACCTTGGTTAGGATGTTCTGGGGCAGGGCAGGGCGCTGATGGTATTGACAGATGCTCCACTTATTATTCCTGAGGCTGCTTCCATACCTGCACAGGTCGCCTCCTGTAAATTGGGCCTGGGGGGTGGGGGTGGGGCCAAATGCATTGTTGGTAATTGCCTGTACTTGGCGTCTTTTAATAAGTAAAATGCCTCCTGGTGTGTGCTTGAAAGGAGCCACCCCTGAGTGTTTCACACGTTGCTTAAGACAAGAGGCTGGTGAGAATTATATTAATGCTGTATTAAAAACGACCCCTTTGGTGCTGTCATCTTCCAAAAAAGCATCTCCTCAGAGTTGTTTGCTAGTTTTCTCCTTCAAAATGGCCATTTCTGGAGGCCAGGGCCACTAGAACTTCCAAAGTGGTGTTGGCTTTGTTTTGCGATGGAGGAGGTTTGACAGAGCAAGTGTCGGCATAAAAACCAGTGCTGTGAGTGGCCTGCCCACGGAGGAGGGAGAGGAGGCCAGAAGAATGAACTCGCTGGCTTCCAGAGTCCCCAGACCCATCTAAGATACACTGGAGTCGGTCGTCAAACATGCCTTCTAACCCCCCTGCTTAGAAGATACGCTGGTTAGTTGAAGTTCAAGGAGTTTTTATTCTTCATAAGATCTGTGCCAGGTTGTCTGTTACTGTGTAACACACCACCCTGAAATCGTGGCTCAAAGCCCTAACATCAGGTCCTAGCTCCGATAGTGCTGACATGGCTGCGCTCAGTGTGGTTCTCACTCAGGGCCTCTGATGGGATTGCAGTCCCTCTGGCTGGGAGGTCATGTCTGCTGCCTGGGCCGAGGGCTGCCGGAGCTGGGACTTCTCTGGCATCTTCCTCTGGGTCTGTGTGACCTTTCTGAGTGCTCTCACCAGCCTGGTGGCTTCCGGGAAGCAGGACTTCTCACATGGGGACTGGAGGCTCCAAATACACACGTTCTCAAAAGAGAGCCGGGTGGCTCCCTTCTTGGTTGCTCTCTCTAGGTTTCTAGGGAGGCAGCTGCTGTGCCGGGAACAGTCCTCTGGGGAGGTCTGGGTGGTAAGCGACCGAGGACTGAGGGCCACGGTCCCATCATGATCCTGGAAGCAGATTCCCAGCTAGTTAACACTTCGGATGACGCAGCCCCAGCTGGTATCTTAACTGCAACCTCCTGAGAGACCCTGAGCCAGGTCCACCTGCTAAGCCTCTCTGAGCCCTGACACTCAGAACTCTGAGAAAATAGTTGTTGTTTTCAGCTGTTGCACAGGGGTCCATTTGTTATGCAGCAACTAATACAACCTCTCTTCTGCCATTTCCCTAATAGTCCATCTGCCAAGTAGGTATTCAGTTGCTGAAGAATGAATGAAGAATGAATAAATGCATTATCTTTGGCTCTCAAAGGTAGTCCACTGACTCATAGCACACACTTGCCTTTGTATGGGAACTTCATAGCCCTGTATTGATCCCATCTTTCCACAGGACCGAAAATTGCTAAAGGCCATTATTTAATCTTCATCCTATAAGTCAGTGGTATATATACATAAATACATACACAAACACATGCATCTTACATATGCATGTTTATGCACACTGGGCTGCCATATATACTTCATGTCAGAAAGGCTTCCCTTTTGAATCAAGTAAGTGGGTGTGTGTTGGCCCTCCACATCCAGATGTTATTTAGGTCCTAGTATAAGTATGCTATAACCTTATAAAAACTTCTCTCCTTTTATGACAAGTTATTTACTAAGCTATTTTGGTATTCATCGTATTTATTTTATTTTATATTTTACCTACTCACGACTCGCCTTTTGAATTCAATTTACTTGGTATTTGGGGGGTATAAAAATATTTTAAAGTAGTCTGACTTTACTACCCAGTAACTGGGTTGTGATTTGGAATTTTCCCTTAGAGGCATATATTTATGTCTGAAAGTAATTTTTATGCCAGTTGACTCTCTTTTAAATGTTTTTATTTTGGATCTCTGGTGCCCAAATTATTCCTTCTATTATTTACGTAGAGATGCGCTAATAATTCAGTGAAACCTAAGTCAAGCCAGAAAAAATGTCTTGCCCCAGTTTCTTTTTGGTAACAAGAGATAAAAAGATGAGTGAAGACATTCTAGATCAGTGGTTCTCAACCTTGGCTGCACATTAGAATCACCTGAGAATCTTTTTAAAATCGTGATTTCTAGGCCTCATCCTCCGGAAATTCCATTTTCTTGTTATGGGGTGGGGCCACAACATTAGTAACAAAGAAACAGAATTTCTGGAGGATGAGGCCGAGAAATCAGGATTTTAAAAAGATTCCCAGGTGATTCTAATGTGCAGCCAAGGTTGAGAACCACTGTTCTAGATGATTTTTCTAGATACTTCTCACCTGCTGAAATTCTCATCCAAGATTACTGCTATTTGGAGGATACCCTTTTCCCATAGCTTCCCCAGAGTTCACGCCTGGTCCCTCCAGCCCCCCTCACTTACGCCTTTACAGAGGAATGACGTACCTGATGTGATTGTGGGTGAGGAACTGAGCATGCACGGTGCAGTCCCTTTCTCTTTCTTTGCTCAGGAAAGCCTCAGATCTGGTCTGCTCTTGGCCAGTGGTAAGCTTAGAGCTACGTGCCCCGTTGGGGAGGCCTGGGGTTGGGCAGTGCTACCTGTGACTCGATGGGTGTAGCAAATCCCGTGACTGACACCTTCTTCTCCCCGACTTCACCTCTATGGGCAGAAGGTTGCTCATTACAACATTTGTACTTCCTGTCTGAGTATGTTCCTGGCCGCAGGAGCCTGCTTGGCCCATGCACAAGACAAGCTGGAAGTGCCCTAGGGTTGATGTTTCTGGAGGCAGCTCTCATACAGGATGGAGTGGGAGTTGATGAACAAACGGGCTAGCTTCAGAGACACTAAGTTGAGAGAACTCTCAGATGTGTCCTCTGCTTTCTCCCAGAGTTCCCAGAGGGATCGAGCTCAGGCTGCCCACAGTGACAACTGGCTTTAGGATGTATGGCTTTCCTCCCTTTCCTGTCTCGCTCCCCCACTCCTCTGTTTAGATGGATTTCCAAACAAACGACTTGTGCCAGGTCCTGCTTCTGGGTAAAGCTGTTCAGCTGACATTATTAGTATTAGGAACCTCTGTTGCCTCCCACCTAAGTCATATCCTCCAACAGCTCAGGAGAGATAAAGGTGACATTTCCAGTCCCATCTGCCTGACTTCTTCTGTTTATCTCAGTCCAGAGCTCAGGAGGGTATAAATGGCTATATTGTTGGGGCTTTTTCTCAAATTTCCATAACTTCTACTTTTCTGCTTCTCCTATTTCCTTAATTTTTTCTACTTCTCCTATTTCCTTACAATAAAATCTAAAAAATAATGAAATTAAGCCTTACAAACAAACATTAAGTAAATTTGGCTCACAATCCACCCAGTTTCTGCCAAAGACATGAAGAATTATGTACACATATGTCCATTTTTCATTTTGTTTACAGTGTTACAATCTTACTATAAGTTGAATCTCCTTAGCTTGAATTTGACAAAAAATTGCTTTAGTTGACAGTATTGAATGTTTTAATTATTTTTTTCTGTTGGACAACCACATTTGCATTTGTCTCTTTATTCGACCTTTGTATGGAAGTTTTCTCTGGAAATTTAAACCGTTTTAATAGAACATGGATCTTTGCTTATTTCTTTTTGCTCTTAGAGCTGAATCAGAAAAATTTACAAATTGGAAGTTAACTTAATGTGCGAACTTGGGTTAATTGCTGAGCCTCCATCTCTTCACCTATAAAACAGACATGGAATTTTTTTACTTATATAGTAGGATTACTGTTAGTAACAAATATGGATGAAAGTGTTGTCTTAGAAGCATGACGTGGTATACAGGTATTGGTTTTTATTTCCTCAGGGACAGTTTTGTTTTGGAGGCAAAGAGAATAGCTAATTCTCACTAACATCGCTAATCCAAAAGTACAGGTAAGGCACTCACAAGAACACATTGACTTCTGAAGTAGACAGATGTGACATTTTCTGGGGGTGCCAATCTATTCTAAGCATGGCAGTTTAGGTTCATACAGGTGAGGGGAGTGGATTGTTTTTA